ATTAAATGCAAGAACTGAATACAGAGCATTCAGATTCCATTAAAAAGTCCTCTACAACTCCAGGAGGCTTGGTACTCTAAAAACATTATAATCAATCATACCCAAAGTACTGTTACAAAAGACTGACTTACCCCTGCTGGGCTGCAGCTTGGCTGTATGTACTGTAATCTAGAGAAAATGAGAAGAGAAAATAATGTGAAGTCAGCAGAGACAAGGAGAAGGAAAAAACAGGGGGAGGAGGAATTCAGGTGGAGGAAGATAAATTCTTTAAACTGTTCAGAGAGAGGAAGTACAGGCCAACACAGATCCAAATGAGTATCTCTTCTCCCTTAACACCAAACCAAAATATGAATCTAAGCCAGTTAAACTCAGAAAGTTTGAAATACAGTGCCAGCTAATGAGGTCAAGATCAGCTGATCTGGCAGATACTTTAAAGGTTCCCATGACCACAACCGCCCCCCCCTCTTAACTGCAGGCTGTCATTTCAAATACATGATCATCATCCTGAGACTAACAGAAAACAAAATGAACCAACATGAACTGAAGTTTTACCTTCATATAAAAACGAGGCATGCCACAATATTACAGTGTTTAACATCAGACTGGTTACAATAGCAGCTGCATCTCCCCCAAACCTAGTTTTTTTATCACTCCCTCACTAACCATAATTCCACAGCAGAGCTGTGACATGGAGGGGCAAAAGACATCATCTCAATTCAGTATTTCAAAGGCTTTCCTGACTGTATCAGGGCTAAATTTCTACAGTAAGTCAAAAGCTAGACACGATAAAAACCACAGCAGAGTTAAGACAGAATCCTGATAACTGGCAGAGAAGAAAGCATGTAATCTTTCTGGGAGTAATATGGTTTTAGGTAACATCAACTTTTAAAAACTCACAATGATTTCAACTCAAGAAAAAAAAAAAGCCCACAACTTTACTTCGCTTCTCTCTACATAATCTTTCCTTTCTCTTTTCATATGAAATGTACAAACACACAAAAAGGGACAAAAAACTGGTCCACTGAGGGGTCTATAAAAGTAGTGAAAACAAATAGAAAATAGAATGATTAAGAAGTTTTCACAGCACTTCCGAACTAAATACATATTTTAAATAAGTATTTTTTTAAAAAAGGATTTTATTTATTTATTTGACAGAGATCACAAGTAGGCAGAGAGGCAGGCAGAGAGAGAGGAGGAAGCGGGCTTCCCGCTGAGCAGAGAGCCCTATGTGGAGCTCGATCCCAGGACCCTGGGATCATGACCTGAGCCGAAGGCAGAGGCTTTAACCCACTGAGCCACCCAGGCGCCCCTTTAAACAAGTATTTTTAAAAGTTCTGCCCAATGCTTTGCTCTCCACAAGAAATACATATCTTATTCTACGCTAGAAAAGAGTACTGCTATTAGTACTGAAGAAAAGGGTCCTTTCTTTTCCAATCAGAAAGTAGCCCCTCATTTGAAAGCAACAATGGACACCTCAGCTCTTCATGGAGAAGTTCCTACCCCCACACTATCCAAAGCCTGCCTCACAGTCCACCTGACCTGAGAGCATTGTCGTGAATCCATCTTTCAAAGTAGGATCACCTTTCTACCTCTTTACCTTAACTACTTTACTTCCTCTGTACATCCTTAACTCAGAACCCTGATTCATCAACATCAAATCAACTGCCTAAAGGTTTTGTGTAATGAACACACTGATTCAAGACAATCTTACGGCAGTTTAAGGTTAAACCGTAAGGCATTTTCAGTAGCACAACTCATGCTTTCTATGCAGCACATAAAAAATAAATGCAAATCACTTCTTCCATGTGGCATTTACAAAACAAATGATGCATCAAAAATAAAATATTTCAACCTACGTTTTGCTGAGGTGTCTCATGTGAGAAATGATTCTAAATTGCTGACATGGAAGTTCGACTTTGCAAGAGGACTTTTACACGAGAAGAGTTATGTAAAACAGAAAACTGGCAAAGCTGATATGGAACAACGAATGATCTCAGATCAGTGAGAAAGCAACCCATTTAATCCCATGGTGGGCTAAAGGAGGGAGCAAACTTGTTTCCTGAAAACTTACGTCATCTACCTACCACTCAGAAATGTATGGAGTCACAAATGTTCGTTACACAATGGTCAGATTTTTTAGCAGTCATGCTTTGTTTTTAACCCCTAACTGTGCAGCTGAAGACTTCACTAAAAATACAGGACAGATGGAGAAGCAAGGGCTGTAATCCAGGGGGCCTCTAAAATGCTGGCAACATTCTCTTCTTGGTGGTGACTTGGGAGTTTGCATTGTAATTCTTTGTTAGACTGGACAAATACTCTACTCTCCTATACGTAATATGCATGAGAAGACAAACCATCTATCTTGACCTAAAATAGTGGCTTTTAGATGCTTTAAAAACAGTAGAGATTTAGAGCTTTGAGCTACCTAGGGAGTTAAAATCAGTATGGGGCAATTTGTGGAAACCAAAAGCTTTGCTGTAAGGTCAAGAGGTTAAGGGCTCAAAAAGCTCTTAAAAGATCTAGCCTCATGCCTTCATTTTGAAGGAAAGGAAACCAAAGTACAGGTAAGTATAAGCCTCCAGCCGACATAGTACTGTGTGTCTATGTAAAACACAACTGTAATTCTACTATATGGAGGTTTCCAATAAACAATTTGAGCGAAGTAAACCAAGAAACTGGCATGTCCAGCCACGCAAAAATTTCACTGTACACATTCTGACTCCCCACGCTTCAACAGGAAAGGAGAGTAATATTCCCCCTTACAAAAATTCAAACACTGCACGGAAGAGGAAGGTGCAAAAGGCTCTGTAGAAAACACTTCCCACCAGGATGTGTCTTGGATTGTGGTATTTCAGAGTCCTCTCTTCCAGGGGCATTCTGAACCCTAGCACTAACAGCCAGCCATTTACCTGCCTGTTTTACTGATCACACAGCTCAGGGAGCCTTAAATTGTCTTTAAGTTGCTGGATTCTCGACCCATTTCAAATCAAATCTCTGAAGGACCCAGAGCTTTTCTGTCTTCCCTCGACTTCTCCCAACGCTTCTAAGTCCTGGTAGGCTGCCTAAGAATACCCCCAGAGGCGAAGAAAAAAAAAAAAAAAAAGCCCCACCCTACTAATAACCGCAGGTTAGTGCACAAACAGGCTGCAAACTACAAGTGATGTCTACGCTACAAGGTTAAACAACTCGCGTAAACGAGACCACCCTAAATTATCACATTTGAGCTCCCATCCCGGGCCTTCTTTCAAAGTACAGCATGCGTCTCCTTTCTGTCTCTCCTATCAGTCCACGAAATAAACAAGGCTGCCGGCTTAACCTAGGACAATAAACTTGCGAGACGATTGCTTAAGCGTAATTCAAATGCCGACTCGGGCCTTTTGTTTCTCCTAGGTCAAAGAGGCCAGAATTTTCTCGCGGTAGGTATTTGGGCCTCGCTATCCGGGCTGGTCTTATTATAAAACTGATCTCCCTCGGCGTTTGCTGAAAAATGGCCCTGGGAAGCACTTAATTGCTTTTTGAGGAAGAAAGTAGGTGGGATTAATAAGAGTAATAACGAAGAAATCGGCGGGGGAGGGGGCGCCGATTGGGGAAGCACATTCCACCCAAAACCCAGTCAGGCAGAAGTTCGGTTTTGGGCTGGAACCCGCCGAGAGAGCAGCTCGGCTGCACCGGACGCCCCAGCCGACCAGGCCCATTACGGGGCGCCCGCTCATAGGTCGGCACCCCTCGGCTCACAAACCCGCGATGCCTTTTTTGTTTATTTGCTTTTCTCCCCAGTTTCCCCACCAAACAGTAGCCCTCCGGCTTGAGCCGCATCCCTGGAAATGGGGGGGGGGGTTGGAGAAGCGGCGTTGCTGCGGCTTCTCCAGCAGCCATCGACCCCCCCCACCTCCGGTTTAGGGGTGTCGGGCTCCAGGCCTTGCCGAGCCCTCCCCCAACCCCCACGCGAGGCCAGGGAGGTCGCAGGCCCCGCCCACGTGGCGGGTGCCCGGGTGCGCGGGGCCAGACGGCTGCCACACAATGGAGACCACGGCAGGCTCCGCGCGCCCCCGCCGCCGAATGCACCTCGCGCGCCGGGGGCGCCGGAAGATTCCAGAACCGGCCTTCCCGGTGGGGGGAGGGGAGAAGAACGCGGGCCCTCGAGCTCGTCGGGCCGCGGCGGGTACCTCACACCCTTCTCGGCAGCTCCATTCAGTCGTCCCGGCCACCCCTAGAGACGAGCGGCCCCTGATTTGGGTGTCCCGGCTGTCGCCGGCGCGACAGCGATTCCACCACACTCACCCGTGGACGCCATTTTCTCTCCTTCCTTCTCGTTCTCTCAACGTCCGTCTCCCTCTCGCTTTCCCTCTAGGCGCCGCACTGCGCAGGCGCGAAACCCGCAACCTCGGGCGCTACCACCGGGGCAGGCCACGGGGGTGAGGGAAGGAGGGATGAACCACAGCTTTCTTGTCCTTCCCGCCCGCAGCTCTTGTCCTAATGCTCTCTAAAGAGCGCTGGACATGACGTGCGGGCCAAAATAGCACCAAAGGGTCTGGAGCGGCGAGTGAGCGGGTATTGATTTCAAGCCGGGGAGATTCTCCGTACAAAGCTAAGCTCTCCGGAATGGTTTCGTCCGCTGGCTCTAGGGACCGTCTCTGAAGAGTCTGCCTTGAAGGGACACGGAGGCCGGCGGGAGGGCTGGGGGAAGGGACCCGGGCCTAGAACAACTGCTGACTAATCGGCGGGCGGCGGGCCGCGGGCGGCGGGCGGCGAGGAAGGGGGGATGGGTGGGGTGGCGCGCCGGCTCCGCCGGGGTCACGCGCCCGAGTGCAGGCAGAATGGGGTCTGGGCTTTCGGGCCTCGCCGGGAAGCTGGAGTCCTGACTCCCAGCCAGGGGCCCCACATGGCATTCCGGGGGCGGGGGGCACGTGGCCGGGGCCGGAGGGGGGGGGGGCCGAGGCGGGTGGGGTAGATGGGAGGCCCCTAACGTAGCTCCGGATCCCGAGAGCCCCTCCCCCCCCATTAACGGTCAAGGTTGAGAAGGCCCTTTAATCTTAATCCCCCATCCAATACCCTTGTTTTTACAGAAGGAGAAACTGAGGCCCAAGGAATTGGGATACTTTTCCTAAAGTCATAAAGCTGAGTTCGACCCGTACCGTGGGATCCCCACTCTCTCAGAAGAATCTACCCCATCCTTGTCTTCTCATTCTGTCCTCTGAGCTTCCCAGTAAGGTAGGCGGGCCTGATGGTGCACAGCCCCATTTTATTGTTGAAGAGACTGAGGCCCAGAGGGTTCCAGTTCCAGTTCTGTTTGTCCATGGGCAAGTCCTTCAGCTTTGGAAAGTGCCTATGGGCGGGCGGTTTTGAGGGTGCAAGAGGAGGCTTTCAGTGGGTGTCTTGGCTTTGGGCTTGGCTGGCACCTGTCTGCCTTCCCGGACACAATCTAGCCTCCCCAGGCAGGTGCCCAGGCCCAAGGAAGGGCAGGGCTTACCCAAATCTTTCACAAATGTATGGAGTCAAAAATGTTCCTTATACCTGGAGCCAAGCTAGAGTCTCTCTTTCAGTGAACACATAACAGAATTTGAGGATGAGTAAGAGGAGGGCGCTCCCACCTGCCATCTGCCTAGACTACCTGCCTGGGAAGAAAGACAGGCTGTGCTTACTAGATAGGATAACATCCACAAAGCAGGAGATGGGGCATTTGAACTGGGCTTCAGAGGGGGTGAGTAGGAGCTTGCCTATTGGAGAGATGGACGGAGGGACATTGCAGGCAGAGGAGCTTTCTACATTTTTCCAGCAGGAAACTGACAGGTGGGTTTTGATGCTGAGGTTGCCCATGGCAAGGGAGCAGATGAGAAGTCTTGTCTCTCTGAGAGCCTGCCTCTTGCATCATGAAATCTGGTAACTAGGAGTCTTGACACAGGCCTGGCCACAGCTGAGGGGGTTTCAGCAAGTCCTGTGCCCTGTGGGCCAGAGCTTGACCCAGCTAGCCTGGAGCAGCTGCTTCCATGTTGAGGCGTCCCCTGGTAGGGCTATGTGGTGGCTCCTCTGCCTCCCACAGTTAGTGGGATGGCTACAGTTTATTGAACAGAAGCTGTGGGCTGGGCCCTGCCTTAGTCCATTCCTTTTTCTCATCCTATGGGGAGAGGATTTTCTTAATTCCCATTTTATAGATGAGGAAGGAGAGGCTCAGAGGGTGGAAAACTTGTCCAGGGAGGCACAGCAGGAAGAAGTGGAGGGGATATTGGAGCCTTCCTGCGAAAGGGGGGGGCTAGGGCCAGAGGGGTTGTGTTCAGAGCTAGAGGAAGGGGATGACTCTGTCCAGTGTCACTTTGTATGCCTTCAGAGTGTGGGATTCCTGCCCCCTTCCAGCCCTTCTGCCTCACTCCCTTTCTAATATGCCTGCCTGTTGGCTGGCCTCACCTCCTCTATCAGGGGCAGCGGAGCCCACCTAGAGCTCTAAGGCTAGGAGGAAAGAGGAAGGTGCCTGGTCTCCAGCCCAAGGGAAGAGAGAGGCAGAGGAAAGCTGGAGATGGCCCTGAGTTTGCCCTGGGGTGTTGTACCCCTCCTTCTGGGAGTCTGGAGCCCTAGTTCATCTTCGTTGGCCTTGCGCCTCCCACCCCAGGCTTTTCTTCAGAGCCCTTTTTGGCTTGGCCTCTCCCCATCCTCACACGCACAGGTAGCCGGGATGGCAAGATGGCAGGATGGCTAAGCACGTGGTTAGGATCTGAGCTCCTCTATGGTGGAGTTGCTGGGCCTGCCTCTCCAGCTTGTTTCTACTGTAAAATGGGGCCATCAGGAGGGTAGTTGAAAGGAGTTGGATAAAAATTGCAGTAATAACTGTGTTATTTTCCTTCACTCCTAGCACACGGCCTCAAGACCACCCTTGACACCGTCAGCCACGTTATGCGTGCCCAAGGTCCCCTCAGCCTACCGTCCCTGACGCTGCCTCTAGCCTCCTCCGTCCTGATGCTGCTGCTGGGCAGCCTGTGGCTGGTGGGGGCTGGGCCCAGCCTTGCCCTGGCCCCCGAGCTGCTGCTGGACCCTTGGCAGGGTGAGGGCTGGCCGCTTGGGCCTTTGAGGAGGCAGGAGACTTGCTCTAGGGCCTGAGACCAGTTCGCAGGAGCACCATGGGTCCTGCACTGGTCAAGCAGGGATAGGATCCAGGGCCTGGGGGGAAGCTTGGCCTTGGACAGGAGCGTGCCCAGCTCATCTGGAGCCCGGAAGGGAGGGTGGAGCACCCAGGCAGAGGGGCCAGTGAGGGGTGGGAGCGTGTAAGTAGGAATTCTTTTCAGACAGCTTCCCTTCTTGGTGGCTTTCCCTTAAAATAAGAACTCAGGCTTTCAGCTTAGTATGAGAATGTTGAGGAGGTCCTGGGAGTTTAAGGAGTGACCCCAGCTGCGTGGTTGTTTCCTAGCAGACATTAAGTGAGTTGCCCATAGTTGGGTTGCTCTTGAGAAGACTGAGTGGTGGGCCCGACCTGCTCTGGTTAACACAGCAGGGGAGCAGCCACAGCATGTGGAAGCCCTCGCTCCCCTTCATGGGTGATTGAAGTGCTGGCAGTGGGCAGACAGTGGCTCCCGGGGTGAGGAGGCTGGCTTAGCAGTGTCCTGCAGCGGTGTGATCACCACCCTGGGCCAGCACTGGGGGTTAGGGCCGCTGACCCGCATGTAAGCTCCTTCTCTCTCCCAGCACACCGGCTGCTGACCCATGCATTGGGCCACACAGCCCTACCTGGCCTGCTCCTGAGCCTGCTGCTCCTGCCCACTCTGGGCTGGTGGCAGGAGTGCCACCTGGGAACTCTGCGGTTCCTGCATGCCTCTGCCCTGCTCGCCCTGGCTGCTGGGCTCATGGGGGTGCTGCTGGCGGGCCTTGGGGTGTCCAGTGCAGCTGGCGGCTGCGGCTACATGCCCGTCCACCTGGCCATGCTGGCAGGGCAGGGTCACCACCCTCGCCAGCCCCAGGGGGTCCTGCCACCGTGGCTCCTGCCCTGGCTCCTGCTGGCCTTGACACCACTGCTCAGCTCCGAGCCGCCCTTCCTGCAGCTCTTCTGCGGCCTTCTTGCTGGCCTGGCCTGTATCCTTTGCCGGGGCTCAGGGCCCATGTGGACATGTGGGTTCTGTGGCTGGGCCCTCCCACCCCCAAGGATGCCTGGGAGGGAAATGGTGCAAGAGGGTCGGGCCCAATGATGCCGGACAGCGTGCGTGGACACATTCTGGGAGCATCCCCGGCTTCTCTAGCCAGGCTCTGGGGCGGGGGCATGGGGTGGCCTTAGGGCCAATGGCCAGGGGGAGGTGCTAACTGCCAACTACCATTTAAAGGAGGGCCAGGAGGGCCGAGGTGACCCAAGCAGGCACCCAACCTGGCTCTCCCCAGTGAGGGAGGCATCTGAACTATGATGTGATGATGTGATGTGTGGGATGAGGGGTTCAGGGGAAGAGAAGTGAAAAAGAGAGCTGGCCGGGCAGGAAGTGTGAGGCCAGGGTGGGAGTGAGCCTGGGGGTCAGCGCTGAAATGGGGAACACCTATGCCTGGTGGTGCATTAAATATAGACTTTTGCTCCAAAGATGCTTGATGCCTCTTGGGGGAAACGGTGCCTTTGAAGAGTGGGCACAGGCCGACCTCCCCCTGGGGTTTTTTTAGGCCTGGGGACACCAGCTGCCCGGCCTGGCAGAATCCTGGCATAGGGAGTATGCCGCTGTGGCTGAGGGCTACGGGGGAGTGTCACTGGGCCCCAGGGTGGGCCTTGAGTCAGACCTGAGCAGTCTCATGGGGCTCTGGGAACAGAGCAGGCATGGGGGCGGGGGACGGGGGAGACACACACCTGGCTCCACCTCTTACTGGCTGAGTAGCTTCTGGCAGGTTCCTTTCCCGAGGGCCTCTGCTTTTCCCCAAGTGCTGATTAGGGTGAGGAGACATTGAGGAGACATCCCTTGCCAGGCTGCAGTGAGGAGAGACCGGGGAATGGCTGGCACACACAGCCCGGGCCCCGGCATGCAGTGTGGGCTCCCCCGCACCCCCTACCCCAGCTGGCTTGGGTTCTCCTTGACCAGCCGCCCTGCCCTGGGCAGACAGATGCAGCAGGGGCCTTCCGGTGGCTGGAGCTGTCAGAGCGGCGGCTGCAAGCACTGCAGGAGGGCGTCTTGTGCAGGGCACTGGCCGGGGGCTGGCCACTCCAACTCCTTCCTACCCCAGGCATCCCAGCAGAGCTGCCGCTCACCCATCCTGCCGGAGCGAGGTGAGCACAGTGCTGAAGACACCCCTCGTGGCAGCTGTGGCAGGGGCTGGCAGTCAGGCCCTCTTCTGCTTCTGCCCCTCCAGGCCTCCCACCCCCGGACCTCCTTACATGGCCTCCCCTAGCCTCTGGGCCCTCAGTGAAGGCTCAGCCCTGCTCCCGCCAGGCCTGGGGCCTGTGCAACCAGCCTGGGAGGGCTCCTCAGAGGTGGGCCTGGCCTGGGCTGGGCCCAGCTTCCCCCCAGGGACCCCACTGTGGGCAGCCCTGGATGAGCAGCTGCTGCAGGAGGGGATCGAGGCCTCACTCCTCGAGGGGCCGCGTCCCGAGAGCCCACTCCGGCTGCCCAAGTCGTCTGTCTCCTCTCTGCGGTAAGGCGGGGGGTGGGGGAGTGGAGGGTCCCCTGGTGCAGGGGCAGGAGGTGGCCCTGACGTCCCCTCCCTGTCCCCCTCCCCACCCCCACCCCCATCCCACAGGCTGCAGCAGCTGGAGCGCATGGGCTTCCCCACAGAACAGGCAGTGGTGGCCCTGGCAGCCACAGGCCGAGTGGAGGGTGCCGTGTCGCTGCTGGTTGGGGGGGAGGTGGGCACCGAGGCCCTGGTGACTCAAGGGAGGGGCGGGCCTGCTCACCCTGAGGGTCCTGGTCCTCCCTAGCCCATGCAGGCCCATGGGTGACAAGAGGCTTGGCCCGTTGGTGGGTAGCCTGAGCCCAGCCCTGTCTGCCAAGGGTTGCAGTGTGGTTCGGAAGAGGCCCCTCCGGCTCCCCACCCCGGTACTGTTTAGAATAAAAACCAGTTCATTTTTCAAGCTGGACCTCTGGATGCAGCCGTTGTGTCGGACTCTTCTGTATTGGCAGCAGGGGGGATGAATGAATGAACAAACAGTGAAGGAAGGACCCATCACAAGAGAAGAGCTCCTTGAGGTGTGGAGATGCACTGGTCCCCCTGCCTGCTCAGCCCCCCACATTGCGTGTGGGCAGGAATGGCCGCCGAGAAGAGGGAAGGGGCTCCCGGCCCCGCCCAGCTGCTCCCCGTCTAAGCACACACTGAGACCAGGCCAGTGGGACATCAGACTGGGGGCCTTTATTGGCTGGACCCCTCTACCTCCAGGGGGCCCCCTCCCTCTCCATGCCTCAACCAACCCCCACCTGGGACATGGGAGGGGCTGGGGGCTCATGGGGCAGGGCCTATACAAGGAATCCCCCAGCATCCTGCCAGCTGAGCTCAGGGTGGGGACCCAGCACCAGAAATCAAGGAGAGGAGGGGTGCGGTGGGCTCCCCGAGGTTTGGCTGGGGAGGAGGGGGTGACAAGCCCTGTGTGTACCAAGGGCCCAGGAGAACTCTAGTTCCCAGCTCCCTTCAGCCCCTCCAGGCCCAGATGCCTGGGCAGCTGATGAGAAGACAGAAGCCTCGAACCAGCCACCTCTTCCTGTCCTACTTCCCGGAGGGGGACAGAGGCCCAGGGCCCTGAGTGAGGCCTCCCCTCTTGCCTGGGCTACCCCTCTCTCTCAGGCCCCTGTCCTTTCTCAGCTTCATATTAGGCTTGCACAGGGAGCCAGGGAGTTGGGACCAAGACTTGGCCATCCCGAAGGCCTAGGTGGCAGAAGGGACCCTGAGGACGTGAATAAATATGGCTGGGCGGTCCCTGGAGGCAGTTGGCCAAGTCCAGGCTGGGAAGGGAAGCCTGGCCTGGTCTGCCCCTAGGGCCGCCCCCGCCCTCAGCCTCTCTCGTTGCGGCTCCTGGGGGCCACGATCCGGTAGTTGGCTGCGAGTCCTCCCCTCTTGCCCCGCAGGAGGCTGGGGGTGCCTGTGCTGGCAGGGCCTGCCCCCGACCCCTCTGGTTCTGCCGGAGGGAAAGAAGAGAGGCAGGGTTAGTGAGGTCTGTGTGAGGTGCCCCTCTCCCTTCAGCCCTCTGGGGGCTGGAGCGCTGGGTACTCCGGCCAGGCACGCTCTGCCCTGGCGTCTGGGAGGCGGAGCTGTGAGAAAGAAGGATGCTTGCAAACTGGTTAGTGCCTCCCCCTCCCCCTCTCCCGGAATTATCAGCTCCCCACCCAATGAGAGCACTCTGGGCCTCTGATTTTCTTTGTCAAGTGAGAATCAATCAACCTGTCGTGTTTCTGAAATGCTTAGCACGGAGTGAATGCTCCATAAAAGTATAGTTCCTTCCCACACTTTGGGATAGAGGTGTGCCCTGAATCATCCCCGTTTCATAGCTGCGTAAGCTAAGGTCAGGAAATAGACTTGCTTTCCACCTCTCCGGGGGTTAGGCCACCTGTGGTGCGGAAGAGTTTAGGAAGGCCAGGCTCTGGCACGGACCTACTGTACAGCTTTGGGTAAGTCTAATCTCTGCCAGGGTCTCAGTTTTCTCATCTCTAAAACCAGGAGGGATAGTTCCAGGTGTACTCTGAGGTCCTGGCCAACTCCAATAATTATGGAAATCAGTTCTAATTTGGCTATGGTGAAATAGGCCCCGACCTGGAAATGAGCTGTCCCGCAAGAGTGAAACTGAAAAACAGGCATTCTTGCCATCCGGAAAGTTCCTACTCATCCTTCAACACCCAAGCAAGGCCTACCTCCTCCAGCAAGTCTTCTGCTACTAACACTTTGGTCCCTCTCTACATTAAGTAAGTGGATCAGGTAGATCAGGATGGGCCATATTTCCAGGGGGGAGATGAACCCTCAAGCAGAGCCCCAGGATGGGGGACTTGGCTGAGCCTCCAAAGTCCTGTTCAAAGGGACAGACACTTGGACTCTGGTGAGCACGAGCTTTCCACTGGGGCACTGCCAGAGGCCATGCCCTCATAATCCTAGCTGTTTAGCACTCTGACCCTGGGTGCCCCAGCCACCCATACACCTCTAGGCTGACATTTGGGCCCCCTGGGACAAACAGGTGTGTGTGGTCATAGTCAAAGGTATTTCATCCCCTAAATCAGGGAGCATAGGAGGAGAGTAGCATGGAGCTCAGGCTCCAACAATCAGCTATGGCCAAACCCTGGTCCCACCATGTATCAATGATGTGGTCTTGGGCAAGTCATGAGAATCTTTGAGCCTCGTATGGAATGTGGGGGACAATACCGTGTCATACCCTTTAAGTGTGTAAGGTGACCAGGAGTGGAAGGTGGTTTTCACAGTAAATGCTGGATGATTAATGGTCACTAGGTGTGTTTTTGACCCAGGCCTGGGTCACTGTGGTCATGAGTGCTATTCATGAGATGCTATTCTGACCCTATGCTATTCAGGGCCCTAGGTTTCCCTGGGCCAGTGCTTTAAAGGACAGATCTACAGTGGATCTATGGCCTCACCACTGCTATTGCTACGACTCTTGAGGAAATCACGTGAGCTCTCTGCACTTCTGTTTTCTTCATCTGTGAAATGGTATCACCCACCCAGCAAGCTTGTTAAAAGGGCTGGATTTAAATCCCCCAGCCCAGTGGGCCGGATGTGTGACGGCTGCTACTGCCTCATTATTGATTGTAACCTAAACATGAGCCCAATCTGGATCTTTAGTTAGCGCCTGCTGTGTATGATGGACAATGGGGAAAGTTCCTTCTTCTCTGCTCCCTTCTCCCCTCACCTCCCCTTCCAGGTCAAGACTCAAGCTGGCTTGTGGGGTCACTCTCCCAGGCTGGTGGCCACAGTGAGTGGGCGTGACCACCTCAGGTGACCACCGCTCCCTCCCTGGGCTGCTGGATAGAGGCGACTAAAGAGAAGACAGGCTACGGGTCCAAGGCTACAGTCCCTTCCGGCTCCTCTCCCAGTCCTGAGAGGAGGTGAGGGACACCTGAAAAAGCCTGGGATTTGGTCCTTGGGCCCTGATCTGTGAGAGGGGGAGGAGGTCTGGGAGGTGGTCACTGATGTTTTGGAAAAGATAGAGAACACCCTGTGGCAAGGTGTGAGGAGCTTGGGAAGCAGACCCCATACTCCTTCCAGCCTCCAGGGCTTTGTCCACACAGGACTCTGTCGGGGCTGCCCTTTCTATCTTCCGCTCACACACTCTTAAGGATCTTCCGTGACCCAGTCCCAGGGTCCCGTCTGCTGGGAAGACTTCCCCCTGCCACAGCTGGAGGCAATGGCCGCTCACTCACATCCTCTGGTGCTCCTGTCGCCCATGGCCCTCATCTCTGTAGACCCTGAGGATTCCCCTTCACTTGATGGGCCCAGAGTGTCCCCCCTGACCTGGCACTCCTCAGCAGGTGTGCCCTACAGTTTTGCTGAATGAAGTCGGCTTGGCTGTCATCCTTGCCCTCCTTTCTGCTTGGGGACTCAGTTTTCTCATCTGTAAAACAGATGCGAAGTTGGACATGATGTCCCAGGCCTTTGTGCGCTGATGTACTACGATTGGGCTGTGAGATGGGGTAGTTGGAGGTGGGAGGAGGACGGCCGTGGGGGCCTCTTAGCGGGTAGGTGCGGACCGGAGCTCAGCCCTGAGGGCGGACAATCTCTGCCTCTCTCCACGACCATCCACGGGCTCCGGTTTAATGGGGAGAACCTTAGCCCCACTGTGAAAAGCCAGGCACGGGGAGGGGTGCTGCGCACTTGGCGTCTTCCCTCCTTCTGTGCCTTCTACCTCCCTTCAAAAGCCTTCTCAAACCGGGGCCTGCCAGATTCTCTAGCCTCAGCTGTCACTCCCTAGCAACCTCACAGAACAGCCTAGCCTCTTGGCTTTGGCTTGCGCTGTTCCTCTGCCTGTTTACCAATGATCATCCTTGCTCTTCAGATTCATTTAGAGGATACCTCCTCCAGGAAGCCCTCCCCCACACACCCCAGCCCGGGGCCGGGGTTCTTCTGTGCTCTCAGCACTCGCTCCACACCGTGATGTTCCTCACTCTGGGTTTAACAGTTCCAGGGAGACCCCTGTGCCCCTGCACCCTACACTCCCTGAGAATAGGAACAGGTCTGTCTGATCTGGGAGCCTGTGCCAGCAAGGTGTCAGGCACTGTCTGACTGCTGGCTGGCTGGAAGGACTAGAGGAGTTCTGCTGGTCTGGGGCCACCAGTAGGAGGTGACTTATGTGTCCCTGGGCCCTTCCTGGAAGGGGCCACCCCTACCTGCCCGCCCTGCCGTTACCTGGCCAGATGATGGCTTCCAGCAGGGTGACTCGTCTGGCCAGGAGCTCCAGCTGAGCCTGCTGCTGCAGGAAGCTCTGTAAGCTAGGAGCCTGATGGGAGATCAAGAAGAGCAACGGTGCGAGTCCGGCCTCCGAGGGCTGGGCCGGGGAGCCAAGGGGGGCGGTGTAGGGGACAGGCACCAGCCGGCTTCAAGGCAGGAGCCTGGGTGTGAGTCTCTACTGAGACCTCAGTCTCCCCTTGTGAGTGGGGGCAGGGCTCCTCCTCTGACTGGCTCCTCAAGTGAGCAGATGAGTGGCGACACTGGTGGGTAAGGGCCTGGGGTGGGGGTCTGGCTCTTTCCGACCCCTAAAGGGACCTGCAGGGTGGGTTAGGAGGAGCAGAAGGCGACCTGCAGCTGTAAGGGAGATACTTGGGGCCAGGAAGACTGCCCTGTGAGAGCCTCTGGGGGCTTCTGGGGGAGGGGAGGTTGGAACTAGTGGGGAAGCCTGGCTTCGTCACCCACAGTCCCCTGTGCTTCTGGAGCCTAGCTCCGTGACCTGTTGTTCTGTGGACTTGGGAGACTGGCTTGCTCTGTTACCCACGATTTATGGAGAGCTGAATGAAGCCTTACTTTGTGACCCATGACCCCCTGCTCTGCTGCAGTCTGGCCCGGTTACCCACAATCCCCTGCTGGTCTGGAGTTTGGCTCCATTACCCCTAATTTCTTCCAAACTCAAAATCTATCACCTCTGCTTTCCCTGTAGGCCTGGAAAACACATTACCCACAATGCTCGGAGGCCCAGGTCTGGCCACAGAGGTGGGGGGCCAGGTCTCTGGGGCCCCCTTTTCACCTGTGGAGGAGGGACCAGCCATTAAGGGAAGGGTGGTCTTGCTCTCTCAGGTCCTCCCCAGCCTGGGGCAGGCACCTTCTCCAGCCTCACAGCTGGGTCCAGGCAGCTCCACCCCAAGAGGGCCTGGGGAAGGCTAGCGGGTGGGGGCTGGGCTGTCTGTCCGTCTGTCTGTCTCTACTCACCATAGAGCCCAATCATTGTTTCCAAGATTAAAACCCTCTCAGCTAAAATCTTCAAAGCCTCGCGTAGTTGGTGCAACCCCTCCCCCTGCGGAGGAAAGAGACAGATGCAGCCGTGAAGGGGGCAAGGGAGGGGGCCCTGCAAAGCTTGTTGGTGGCCCATGCCCCACCCTGGACATGCACCTGCAGCCCACACCACCGGCCACAGCCCCAGGGCCCGCGGACAGGCAGGACAAGACCAGGAGGGAACGGGGGCGTGGGGGCGGGGCAAGACAGGTGGAAGCAGCCCCCTCCGGTAAGTCCTGATGGGTTCCAGCTGGCTGCTCTCTGCCCACACCCCTGCACTGGCGGCCGGGGGTTGCAGATCCACAGGGGCTGCGCTGCTGTCCCAGAGCCTGCCCTGGGGGCTGTCACTGGGTACCCCTGAATCTCTGTTGCCTCACACCTGCATGGTTCCTGCCCCATCCCTGGGCCACCTGCATTCTCATTTACTTAATAGTCTTTCAACGGAGTCCCTTTTTGCCTTAATACTACATTAATCTCACTCTAATGAATTCCATCAGTGCGAACAGGCTACTCATGGATGTCCTTTCCATTCACATCAAAATGAATACGTACAAGTAAAATGAGAAAACATTTGAGTGGCATCACTTTTGGGAAGTTGGGCTCAAAAATGGAAAAGCTGAGGCTCAGGCCCAGGTGTCCACTCCCCAGCCCTTCTCACTTTGGCCTCCTCCCTACCTGGGCTCTGCCTATTTCAAATCCATATTCGGCATGTCTTGGGATCAGGCCCCCAGCCCCACCCTCCCTTCTAAGCAGTATCTCGGGGTCTGCAGTCCCCAGGCCCAGGGATGTGGCAGTGCCCCCCACCCCCACTTCCCGCAACAGTGTCAGCTGGCACTCCGACCAGCCTTCACCTTGACTTCCAATTTGTCGGCCTGTCCTTTGCTTCCCCAGAACGGGGTCCACGGTCTGGCTGAACTTCCACACTCCCTCACCTCTTCCTCTTTCCTAGCCCAGACTAAAGCTATTTCTGGAATGTCGATATCTGAATTCCAACAGAGCACCAGGACAGCAAATAGAACTATTCCAGTCCTGACATATCTGGGAGTCTCTCTCAGCGTCCTTTACTTAGTACAGACTAATTGAAGGGATTGGGGCAGACTATGCTATAGCAGAAACCCACCCTTCAGGGTTCACCAAAACATCTAACAACCGAGAGTCCGCCTAACGTGTCCATGAGCCTCCTGTGGCGTTGCTGGGACTGTCCATTACAACCCAGCTGTCCTGTCCACATCACCAGTTTAGGGCTGCCCTTAGGCCACTAACTGGCCACTGCAGCCTAAGGGTCACAGGGTCACCACGGGCCACACCAAAGTAATCCCTCTTCAAGTATTACAGGAGCAGGATCTAAAAATGGATGACCTTCAAAAATTACACTAAGCCACTCCGGGCATGGATGGTGGGGACAAGCTGACACCATGAACGTCCAGGAAAGTGTAATAAGAGGGCGTCCGCTAGTGCTCCTGCCAAGAGCATTTAACTGCCTCTCATCACCAGGAAACAACCAGACAAATCTAGATGGCAGGGCACTCACAAAAAGACAAAGTCAAGAGGAAGAAGAAAAGGACAGGGACTGTTCTACATTACAAGGCACTAGAGATGTAACAATCAAGTGCAATGCATGAGTGTTGATTAAATCTTAGATTAAATTAAAACGAACAAACAAACAAACAAACAGCTAAGGGGCACCTGGGTGGCTCAGTCGGTTAAGGTTCTGCCTTTGGCTCAGGTCATTATCCCAGGGTTCTGGGATTGAGCCCTGTGTTGGGCTCTCTGCTCAACGGGGAGTCTGCTTCTCCTCCTACCCCTCCCTACTGCTAGTACTCTCTCCCCCTCTCTCAAATAAAATCTTAAAAAAAAAAAAAAGAAAATTAAAGGAAAACGTCAAAGTTCCGTTATTTGGATCCCTTCCAAGATGGGTGGCCTATTGTTTGCACTGATAACGTCGCAGTCCCCTCCCGGCCTGGTCTGAGTGTCCAGGGCCTGCTGGGCACCCCCCCCCGACCTGGCACCTCCACTCAGCTTTAATATAGCTCCCATTTTCCCTGGACATAAGCCAGTGGCACCGCTTCTCTGGGCTCTCTACTGTAAAGGTTGCCTGAACTGCTTGCTCCCCCTCACAGTCAAACCAGCACCACATATCGCTTAGTCCATGGACAGCCATCCCTCCTCACCATCCCCCTTGCTGGTTCCAGCCCCCACAGTCACTTGCCAGAATGACCACAACAGACTCCATTCTGGCATCTCTCTTTCTGCTACTCCCGTGTTGCCCCCCTTCTCCCATCCATCCTTCACAAGGCAGTCAGATGAACTGTTTGCAAATGAAAATGTGACTGTGTCCCTTCCCTGCTGTTAAATAGTTCAATAACTCCCCACTGTCCACAGAACCAAGTTCAAATTCCTCAATATGGCCGCCCAAGTCCTGAAAGCCTGTTTGACTTCTGTCTCACCCCTTGACTGTCACACTGTACCAGGCCAAGTATCAGCAGCTCCTCAAATACCCCAGGATTACGCCAGCCCTAAGGCCTTTGAACATGATGTTCTCTCTGCTCAGCCTGAATACCTTTGTTTGGTTGACACACCCTTCAGGCCTTAGCCCCCATCTCCTCCTCCATGCCAGATCCTTCCCCATCACAGCTGACCTCCCTCAGTCCTGTTGCCGCCGGTTACTGGTCTGTTCTCCCCTCCCACTGTGACCACCTTAAGAGTGGGGACTGTGTCCAAATCATGTCTATATGCCTGGCACCCACCGAGGAGGGGCGGGTTTCCCCGGTCCTGGGATCTGAACATCCTGGGCTTCAGTTCCAGCTCTGCCAACAATTTGCTCTGCGGAGTTGGGCCTCAGTTTTTCCTGTCTAAATGAGGGATACGAACTTTGGTCTAGATTGGCTGGTTCATCTCAGTCACTCTGGGGGCAGAACCTGCAGTTCATATGCATGACCACTGGGTGTCACTGCTGAGCCACAGTCGGGCCAGTGGTTCAGGTCTTCCTGGGGGTTGGTAGGTGGAGAGAAGCCCCCTTAGGGCCCTTCCCCACATTGGACCTCATGCCCACCTACCCCCAACAGAGCTGGTCCCCCAGTCCCCAAAGCCTCATGCTGACCCCAGCCCAGCAGGCCCCCCTCAGGCATGTGGCAAGCAGGGGCAGAAGTACAGGTGGGCAACGGGGAGGCAGGAGGATGGGCAAGGGCCCTGCTACCTCTTGGGCGGCCTGTCCCACAAGGTGGGCCTGAGTTCAAGGCCTGGGTTGGGACAGTTCAGGCATCTGTTCTCCTCTTGGAATCCCATGCAGGAATGGAGCTGCATAGTCTAACTCAACCTCATGTCATCTTTCCTACCTCTCCTGGGCTGAGTAGGGAAACAAGTTCCCAGGCTGGGAATGGCCAGTGAAGGGACCTAGGGGAGGGACAGGGCTGGGCTCACATGGGTCTGCCTGACCTCAGCCCAGCTTGTGCCCATACTAGCAGTGTGCTTAAGAGGTTCTGGAACCACGAGGGGCTGAAGGGGGCTGTGGGGAGTAGAGTGAGTGTGGGGGGCTGGGAGAGGCTTGCCAGAGAGGTAGCAGGGCCCCCGAAGTCATGGAAGACACAGGGAAGGGCTCGTGCAGGGTGAGGGGCTCCCACGGCTGTATCCATCACTGACCCCACAATCAGGAGCAGAGAGGGCAAGGCAGGCTCTGGGTGCATCCCATGTCCTCAGTTACAAGTACTTGCTGGTAAGTAGGGCACCCCAGCCAGACTGCACCAGGGAGGGGGCAGGGGAAAGGGAGGCCTGATACCAGCCTTCTGAATAGCTTCCCAGCTTTCTCTCCTGTGGGGGGGCTGCCCTACCCCACCCATTTTCCAAATGTCTAGGTCACAATGGTTTCCAAGTCCTGCACTGTGGGACTTTCGGACCTCCCCCCATGCATCTCTTGGGTGGGCAGATTTCTAGGCCTGGGAACTCATTCACTGCAACTATCTCCAATGATTGTAAAGGTTTCTAGGACCCCACATGTAGTTTCTCTGTCCCCTTTCTCATATATGCTATGTCTCCTATGTTTGTGAGTTTCTAGGCCTGCCTTCTCAATCTTCATGGGTTTCCTATTGTGTATTGTGGTTTCTAGATCTCCTCATCTCACTTTCAGTGGTTCTTCTATGCAATGATAGTTTCTAGGCCTCTCCTCCCTCTCCCCATGGCTCTCCTATGTATATGATGGTGTCTGGGACCTTGTATTAATTATAGCTCTTTTGAGAATAGTGGAGTCTAGGTCTCCTGACCTCATTTACCATGTACAATGTAATCATAATGGTTTGTGGGCCTCCCTTCCCATGATCCATGGATTTCCTAGGTGTACGGTGGTATCTAGGTCCTTTATCCCTTTTCCAACAGGGTCCCAGTGTACCTCACTGTGTCAATGCCTCCCTCCCGACGCTTCACAGCTTTCTCAAGGCCCCCTGTCCCATTGTTACATGTGGACATGGTATTCATGCTTCCCTTTCTTCTGCAGGCAGAGCCGAAGCCGAAGCCCTTGCTGGGAAGGGGCCATGGAGGCGGAGGGTGCAGTCTGGACTGGGTCAGCCCAAACCACCCAGGAGGAATGGGCAGGGTCACCCTGGCTTGGCAAGGCCACAGAAAGAAGGCGGAGACAGGGACGAAGACAGAGACAGAGAGCGTGGGGCCTGCTGATAAGGCTGGCTCTGCCTGGCTGAGAGGGACACAATGGGGACCGGGCCAGAGTGGAGATCTGTCAAGACTCCCTCCTGGGAGCCCGGGTGGCAGTGGGGATTTAGAGGAGGTGCCCCTATCCCTATTGATCTCCTGAGTACCCAGGGCAGGGAGGGGCAGTAGGAGGTCTGGGCTCGGCTGGAGCTTACCCAGTGGCTCTTCTCCCCAGGGTCTCCTTTGGGGCCAGGTTCTCCCTGCAAGGAGAGACCGAGGTAGAGGTAATGAGAGAGGGAAGGAGGAAGGGAGGCTGGGGAGGGAAGGAGAGGGAGAAAGAGGGAAGGAGACACTAAAAGACTGGGAGAGACTGTGGTTTGTATTGGACTAACATAATGATTTAAAGGCAATGAAACATAATAAAAGAACAGCCAGAAACTGGAGGCTCTTTGACCTTTGAAAGAATTGAACTGCCCTCGGTAAACACACACACACACACACACACACACACACACACACACACACACACTACATACTTGTGGTTTTTCTCCTGAGGGCACACCCCGCCCTTCAGCCTGGCAAATAGCTCAAAAAGGAAGCTTTAGTCTTACAGGGCTGAAGAATCACAGGTTGGAGTTGAGACTGCCAAAGGAGGAGGAAATTGAAAGGAAATCCTAGAAAGCAGGGAGCCACTTAGGGGAGTGAAATCTACATAAATACCCCCCCCCCAATCCTTGGACAGTCCATGAATTACCCATCCTAAAGTCACAAAGCTGAGTCCAACCCTTGCTCTAGACCAAAAATCAACATTCTTCAGAGGAAGATAATAGAATCCAGATTCTCTTTATTATCTATATTGTCCAGTATGGACAGTTACTAGGTATGTAAAGAAATAGGAAAATGTGACCCACAATGAAGAGAAAAATAAGTCCGTAGAAGCAGATCCATAGCCAACTCAGTTGTTGAAATTAGTAGGCTCAAAGTTGAAAATATCTGTCATATTTGTCATCAAGGAAATGCCCCAAATCAAAATCACAATGAGATCACCTCACACCTGTCAGAATGGCTAAAATCAACAACACAAAAAAGAACAGGTGTTGGCGAGGATGAAGAGAAATGGGAACCCTCAGTGCACTGTTGGTAGGAGTGCAAACTGGTACAGCCTCTCGGAAAACAGTACGGAGGCTCCTCAAAAAGTTAAAAATAGAGCTACCCTATGACCCAGCAATTGGACTGACTATTTACCCAAAGGATACAAAATTCTAATTCAAAGGGATACATGCACCCCAATATTTATAGCAGCACCATCGAAATAGCCACATTATGGAAACAGCCCAAATGTCTTTCAACTGATGAATGGATAAAGAAGATAGAGTATTGGGACATCTGGGTGTCTCAGACGGTTAAGCATCTGCCTTTGGCTCAGGTCATGGTCCCAGGATCCTGAGATTGAGTCCCACATAAGGATCCCTGCTTGGCGGAGATTCTGCTTCTCCCTCTCCCTCTGCCTCTCCCCCTGCTTGTGCGCTCTCTCTCTCAAATGAATAAATAGAATATCTGAAAAGAAAAAAAGTTGAAAAAAAAAAGATAGAGCATATATATATATATATATATACATATATATATATATATATATAAGATGAAATATTACCCAGCCAAAAAAAAAAGAATGAAATCTTGCCATTTGCCATGACATGGATGGAGCTAGAGAGTATTATGTTAAGTGAGTCAGAGAAAGAAAAACACCATGTGATCCATGTGATTTCACTCATATATGGAACTTAAGAAATAAAGGAGCAGGGGCGCCTGGGTGGCTCAGTGGGTTAAAGCCTCTGTCTTCGGCTCAGGTCATGATCTCGGGGTCCTGGGATCGAGCCCCGCATCGGGCTCTCTGCTCAGCAGGGAGCCTGCTTCCCCCTCTCTCTCTGCCTGCCTCTCTGCCTACTTGTGATCTCTCTCTGTCAAATAAATAAATAAATAATCTTAAAAAAAATAAATAAAATATCTGTGATAAATGTGTTAGCGGATGTAGTGGAATTGACATAATGGGTGATGAGATGGGGCTTTTCAGATCTGCGGAAATTTTAGAAGAGCATCAGATGGAAATCCTGCAATGAAAAGGATCGTACTTGAAATAAAGACTTCGTTAGCGGGGATTAGCAGAAAATTGGCCAGGAGAGAATAAAGAAGCGGTTAACTTGAAGATAGGTCAATGCAACAACTCGAACTGAAGCACGAAGGGGAAAAATGATTTTAAGAAAAAATTATGGGGGGCGCCTGGGTGGCTCAGCGGGTTAAGCCTCTGCCTTCAGCTCAGGTCATGATCTCAGGGTCCTGGGACTGAGTCCCGCGTCGGGCTCTCTGCTCGGCGGGGAGCCTGCTTCCCCCTCTCTCTCTGCCTACTTGTGATCTCTCTTTCTCTCTCTCTGCCAAATAAATAAATAAAATATTTTTTAAAAAAAGAAAAAGTAATGGGAGCCTGGGGCACCTGGCTGGCTCAGGTGGAGGAGCACAGGACTCTGGATTTTGGGGGTCATGAGTGATTATTTGAATAAAAAATACTTAAAAAAAAAATTAACAGAGCCTCGGTAACTCAAGAGAGGGTGTTAGGTAGAACTGAAGTCCCGGAAGGAGAGAAGGTAGCATAGGAACAGAAAAAATAAGTTGAGGAAATATTAACCAATTTCGTCTCTAAATCTGATGTAAAAACGAAACAAACCAGACTTTTTATTTCTGGCATGGTGCATGAGGAGCTCAGAAGTTGCCATTCTGTCCTAATAACAAGGAAAATGCTGAACAAATGGAAAATCAACAACTCTTCTTAGAGCCATCAAAGCAGTGAGGTCCCAGGACAAACCACTGCCCCCACCCCCGAAACTGGAGAAAGGGGCGGATTGTGATTTACTGAGCAGAAGCCTCCCTGGGAACCAGTGCCGGGTAGAAAAACGTAAACACAACTGACAAGTTGCTGGAGGCCAACTCTCGGTGTGGCCAACTCTGAGAGTTCAACATTCCAGGGGGACCTGGTTTTGGGGGGAATCCCCACATCTGTGTGAGTTTTACACAGGAGCCCTGTTGTAGAAAAATCTCCTGGCGCTTTCAGCAGGAGGAGGGTGAAAGGAACCATTTTGAAACACTCCAGAGCATTCTATCGTTCTCAGCAGGGCCTGCTCTCAGGAGAAACTTTTTTTTACGGGAGCCTAACCTGTTGGGGTCTTTTTTTTTTTTTTAAAGATTTTATTTATTTATTTGACAGACAGAGATCATAAGTAGGCAGAGCAGCAGGCAGAGAGAGAGGGGGAAGCAGGCTCCCTGCTGAGCAGAGAGCCCGATGTGGGGCTTGATCCCAGGACCCCGGGACCATAACCTGAGCCGAAGGCAGAGGCCCAACCCACTGAGCCACCCAGGTGCCCCAACTGTTGGGGTCTTATCAGAGCCTCATTGACCTGGGGGAGGGAAATACCCAAGTATAGCTAGCTTTAGCCTTCCATGTGTGGGAACAGAAATAGCCCAGCTCAGCTCCCATTTAACCATCTTGTCCCACCTAACGGGGTGTGAGGGGCTGGGGGGTGGGAACAAAACAAAAAACACTAAAAAACAAAACAAAACAAAACCAAAACAAAACTAAGCAGTGCTGCTGAAGTTCACAGTCCAGGGGCATAGGCTTAGGGAAAGACTGAGACCTAACAACAGGACTCCAGGATGCTTCCACCCCCTGCACACCTAACCACTACATCACTAAAGTCTCTCTACTGCCGTTCCTTTCACCAAGTACATCATGTTTACCTTCCAACAAAAAATAACAAGGTATTCTGTACGCTGCCTTTGGGTTTTGTTGATAGTTTCCTTTACTGTGCAAAAGCTTTTTTAATTTTTTTTAACACTTTTTTTTTTTTTGAAAATGGCATTTCAAGATTTTTTATTTATTTGGGAGAGAGAGCGAGCACAAGCGAGCTCAAGCGGGTGGTGGTGGGAGGTGCGGGGGTGAGAGGAGGGAGGGGCAAAGGGAGAAGCAGACTTTCTACTGAGCAGGGAGCCTGACTCAGGGCTTGATCCCAGGACCCTGAGATCATGACCTGAGCCGAAGGCAGATGCTTAACTGACTGAGCCACCCAGGTGTCCCTGTGCAAAATCTTTTTATCTTGATGAAGTCTCAATAGTTTATTTTTGTTTTTGTTTTCTTTGCCTTTGAAGACGTGTCTGGCAAGAAGTCGCTGCAGCTGAGGTCACAGAGGTTGCTGCCTGTGTTCCCCTCTAAGATTCTGATGGATTCCTGTCTCACATTTAGGTCTTCCACCTATTTTGAACTTGTATGTGGAATTTAAGAAACAAAACAGATGAACATAGGAGAAGGGAGGGAAATAGAAAATATAAACAGAGAAGGAGGCCAAACCATAAGAGACTTTTTTTTTTTTTTTAATTTATTTGAGAGAGAGACAGTGAGAGAGAGCATGAGTGAGAAGGTTAGAGGGAGAAGCAGACTCCCCATGGAGTTGGGAGCCGGATACGGGACTCGATGCCAGGACTCCGGGATCATGACCTGAGCTGAAGGCAGTCGCTTAACCGACGGAGCCACCCAGGCGCCCAAGAGACTCTTAACTATAGGAAACCACGTGAGGGTTGCTGGAGGGGAGATGGTTAGGGGGGAAATGGGATAACTGGGGGATGGGCATTAAGGAGGGCACGTGACAGAATGAGCGTGGGGTGTTGTATGCAACTGATGAATCATTGTCTTCTACCTCTGAAACGAATCCTCTATATGTTAATTAAATTGAAAGTAAATTAAAAATTTTTAAAAATGACAAGGCATACTAGCAGGCAAAAGACACAGTTTTAGAGACTGAGCAAATAATAGGACCAGAGTCAGACATAGCAGAGATGTTGGAATGATCAGACCAGGAATTTAAAAAAACAACTCTATGGGGCACCTGGATGGCTCAGTTAGTTAAGCGTCTGCCTTCGGCTCAGGTCATGATCTTGGGGTCCTGGGATATAGTCCTACAATTGAGCCCCACATCAGGCTCCCTGCTCAGTGGGGAGTCTGCTTCTTCCTCTCCCTCTGCTCCTCCCCACTGCTTGTGCTCTTTCCTCTCTCTCTCTCTCTCAACTAAATAAATAATCTTTTAAAAAATACAACTATGATTAATATGCTAAAGGCTTTAATGGAAGAAATTGATAACATGCAAGGACAAATGGATAATCTGAGCAGAGAGATGGAAATTCTAAGAATCAAAAAGAAACTGCTAGATTTTTGTTGGAG